CTTCTACTGCCTCAATTCTGCTCCTATGACTTTCTATTGAGTTGTCTAATTCTGAAATTTTATTGTTAATCTTCTGGATTTCTGATTGCTGTCTCTCTGTGGATTCTTGCAGCCTATTAAATTTGGCATTATGTTCTTGAATAACTTTTTTAAGTTCCGCTACTACTGTGTCTGTATGTTCCCTGGATGTTTCTCCATTCTGTAGAATTTCCTTTCTTATTTCTAGAAGAGTTCTGTATATTAATCTTTTGTATTCTGCCTCTGGTAATTCCAAGAAGTTCTCTTCCTCCAGAGAATTTACTGATTCTTTATTTTGGGGGCTTGCTGAAGCCATCATGGACTGCCTCTTTATGTGACTTGATATTGACTGTTGTCTTCGAGCCATCAATAATTTATTATAATTTTATTTTGTGTTTGCTTAGTGAGACCTAGCTTCTTATTTTGTTTTGTTTTGATATGCCCGTATAGGCTGCTCGTGTGCACTAGTTTGATTTTTGACACCTTTGGATCTCTAACGTCCTGTCACCAGGTAGTTAGTTCTGTAACTAAGTATGTGCACAAAGGAGACTGTTAAATTTTCCTATATGGGTTCAGCTCAGGTGTTCAGGCAGTCGGTCACTGAGTGTGTGATGCAGGCTCTCACCCCCAGTCCCAGAGAGGCATGGGTGATCGGTGCAGGCACTGGACTCTGGCAGTGGTAGGGGATCACGCACTGAGCCAGGCAGGGGGCTGACGGCTGCCCCTGAGAGTCTGAAAGGAAAGCATGTCCCTATTCTCTAGGGTGAGTAGGTAGGTGAGTTTTGCAGCCAGACTAAGAGCACCCTGCTCTGTTGGCTGTAAAGACTCGAGGGCACCACTTTTTCTTGAACTCCTGTAGCAGGTAACTAGGCACTTTAGGAGCTACCACCAGTCCTCAAGACCCTGCTGCAGATCGATAAAAGTGGGGCAGGGCTGTTTCGAGGGTCACAAATCTGTCCGTTCACAGGTGAAGCAGTTGAAGTTAAATTTCATATGTTTGCCCTGTTGTACTGTGGCAGTGAGGGCTAACACTGTTGAGATGGGTCTCCACAAGACTATATAGGAGTGTAAGGCGCTCAAGAGTCTGCGGATCTCCTGATACCTGTGGCCAGCAAAGGAGCTGTGCCGACCCTGTGTTCCTGGCCTAGGGGAGCCAGCAGCTTATTTGTTCCCTCTCCAAGGCCAGGAGAATGGGTCAGGGTGCCTTTTGGGATCTACTTCTGGCCCAGTGGACTCCTGGTGCAGAGCGCGGAGGGAGGAGGTAAAAGGGAGAGAGGTTTTCCTAAATGTGCTTTTTTTTTTTTTTAAATCCCAGCAAAAGGGTGCACGCATGTACTTATCCTAGCCTCTTGGGAGCTGCTCTTCACTGGCTCGGAGTGTCCAAGCAGAATCTCTGCTGCCGGCTCTCTCTCGATGCGGGAACTGCTTCTTGAGCGTGCGCACAGCACAGCTGTTTGCCTGCTTCACCGTGGACCAATGTGGCTGTGGCTCTGCAGTTTCAGTGCCACGGCTCTAACCCTCCTCACCTCTTCCAAATGGTCTTCCTCTCCCGTATCCCTCAGACAGATTTCTTAACCTTGCATTGCTCAGGGCTGCTAGATATTCACATAGAATCAAATCACTTGTTTTTCCAGGTCTTTGTTGTAAGAGGGATATAGGAAGCGTCTAACTACTCTGCCATGTTGACCAGGCCTCCAGCAGCCAATCATATGAAAGGGAGTTTCCTTGGGGGTGTGGCCTGCATCCAATATAGGCGGACTCTCTGGCAAGGCTCGTGGGCTTTTGCTCGTTCTGGATCCTGCAGCTGGCTCCTGTTCATCTGACCCCTGGTTCTTCGGACTTGAGCTAGCAGCTTACCTGCCGTCTTGCCTGCCAATCTTGGGATTTGTCAGTCTTTGCAGCCTGTGAGCCAGAGTCCTGCTTTCTCACCTGCCAATTTTGGGTTTGCCAGCCCCTGCAGATATGTGAATCAGAAGAAGCCTCCAGACTGACCCACAGACTTGGCCTTTCCAGCCTCTACAACTGCGTGAGCAACTTCGTTGATATAAATCTTTAGAGTAGCCAGCCTAAGACAGTAATCAAATGTAAATCATTTATACCACCCAGGGACCCTTGAACTGTGAGTAGTTCCTAGTTAATGATAGTATGTAAATTTGACTCAATGTCTGGAGAGACTTTTAAACTACAAGTGGAAGAATTCTAGGTCAAGTGAACAGTAGTCTAACTTGAATCACCAGAATAGAGTCATAGCCCCTCAAACAATTCCCAGATTTGAGTGAGTTTACAGACCCACAACCCCTTGAATGAAGGGGAGGCCAGGTCCCCTTGAGGAAGGACTCCAATATACTGCCAAAAACTTATACTGTTAATCTTTCTCCCAGCCTTCCCTAAAAGGATCTACAGCCTTTTACCAGAGTGACTGTTAGTTGGGGAAAAAGAAATAATCAGACTTTTTGGGGATTACTGGATACTGGCTCTGAACTGACATTAATTCCAAGACACCCAAGACGTCACTGTGGCCAACCAGTCAGAGTGGGGGCATATGGTGGTCAGATTATTAATGGAGTCTTAACTCATGTCTGTTTCACAGTAGGTCCAGTGGGTCCTCAAACCCATCCTGTAGTGATTTCCCCAGTTCCAGAATGCATAATTGGAATAGATATACTCAGCAACTGGTGGAACCCCCACAGTGGATCCCTGACAAGTGGAGTAAGGGCTATTATGGTAGAGAAAGCCAAGTGGAAGCCATTTGAACTGCTCCTATCTAGGAACATAGTAAATCAAAAGCAATACCACATTCTTGGAGGGATTGCAGAGATTAGTGCCACCATCAAGGACGTGAAGGATGCAGGGGTGGTGATTCACACCACATCCCCATTCAACTTGCCTATTTGGCCTGTGCAGAAAACAGATGGATCTTGGAGAATGACAGTAGATTATCAAAAACTTAACCAGGTGGTGACTCCCATTGCAGCTGCTGTTCCAAATGTGGTTTCATTGCTTGAGCAAATTAATACATCTCCTGGTACCTGGTATGCAGCTGTTGATCTGGATAATACCTTTTTCTCCATACTTATTTCAATAGACCACCAGAAGCAGTTTGCCTTCAGCTAGCAAGGCCAGCAATACACCTTCAGTGTCCTACCTCAGCGTTATAGCAACTTTCCAGCCCTATGTCATAATTTAGTCTGCAGGGACCTCCTACCACCAAGAATGAAGAATCAGGAGGAGAGCATGTCCTTTAGACCCAGGTTTCCTGGGCTGAGAAGCTCCTAGGCTGGGGAAGACAGATGACAAGGACCTTCCTCCAGGGCTGACACAGAGAGAAAGCCTGACCCTGGAGCTGGCACCCTGAATTCAGACTTCTAGTATCCCAGACTGTGAAGAATAAATTTCTCTTTGTTAAAGCTATCCATTTGTGGTATTTCCATTATAACAGCACTAGAAAGGTAAGACATCTCCTCACAAGATATTTGTTCTGCCTTTCCCTCCTATACCAATTTCCCAGAGGAGCCTCCATGAGCCAGGCTGAGTCAGCCTTGGGCTCTGGTAAGATGTGTTGGGGGGGAGCACAGCAGGATGGGCACCTCTCTGGGCCAGAGTCCATGGTCCTGGGAAGCACTGAGCCCTCAGCCCCCCAAACCCCAGGGGGATTTGACTGGAGAACAAGATACCCCCTTTCTGGTCTGGGAGGTCCATATCTGGGCCGAGGGACCCCTGTCCGACTGTGCCGTGGCAGCTAAGTGTAGGCATGTGGGTGTGTGGGGGGGTGTTCTCCTGGCTCCAGCCCTGTTTCCTGGGCTCCCCACACCAACCCCTTGCCTGTGCTGCAGCTCAGCACAGACCTGCGCCAGATGGAACTTATGCTCCCAGTGCGAGCACAGACCCTGGGCACCACCCTCCTTTCCTGAGCCCCTCACCAGGGTTGGAGCCAGGATGGGGTCCCCAGGAGAGTCTCCTTCTGCCCACTCACCTTTCTCAGACTGAGATCTGTGGCTGGCTTGGGTGAGGCATGCAACCAGACCCAGCCCTGGGACACAAAAGGAGTCTCCCCTCCCTCCTTTCCTATATTCGGCTAGGCCATTCTGTAAGTTGGACTCTGGGCCTCAGTTCACTCCGTGTGCATAGCCAGGCAAAGCTGGTGAAGGGGGCGTAGCCGGCGGGCTGGACCTGAGCTAGCAGCCGCAGGACTGCTGGAGGCACCCTCCGCTCTGCAGTTGGCCCGAGCGAGCCGGGACGGGAGGTGGGCGGGCTGTGCCCCGTCCTGGCCAATCACTGCAGCCCCAGCCACATTGGTCCCGACAACCGGGGGGGCGCGGCCTGCTGTGGCAGCCTGTCCTCCCAGACAGGCCGGTGCTTGGGGGCTGGGGCCGGGGGTTTCATGCGAACCTCTTTCTCGTTCCAAAGTGGGGCTGGGGTCCCCCGGCAGGCTCCTCCCTCAGGTCAGGGTCATGAGGCGCAGGTCCGGCAGCCGTCCACCCCCAGCGGCCAGGGAGCCCGGCCGCTCCCAGCCCCGGCGCCGCCTCGATCCCTTTGGCAGTCCCCTCACGTCGCCCGCCTCCAGATTAGGCATTAACCCGATTCTAGCCGCATTTCCTGGGGGGGAG